AAGGATTACTTCCACCTGAGTCAGTGTAGGGACGACAAAGTACAAGGACTAAGTTGTGTCTGCTGATGGCCCCAAGTGAGGTATAGGGCAGAAGCTAATGCTGTCACGGTATATGTTATGCGTTCATGCTTGGCGGATTCCATCCACTCAAAGCTTTGTGTACCTGAATAAAGAGATATATTATAGCTGCAGCTCTTCTTCACCTGTTTGGCCCTTTCATTGCCCGATAAGGCTTTTCATACATTTTCCCTACGTTTCCCATCTCCCGTCTGCACTGATTTTTTATATCCCGATGGAAAATGATAAAACGTTTCCTTATCTCAGTGATCTCCGCCGTTGTATAAATATACGCTCCGGTGTGATACGGAAATACTTCAACCATCACACACTCACAAAACACCCAGGTCACCGTCCTATTTCTTCAGCTACACTCTTCAAAACAAGAAACGCACAGGCGTTTTCAGCAGTTCATTTCGATATATTTTGACAGCAATCGTCATTAAGACATTTCCTATGTTCGAATCCCGTTGATCATGTCGTGGTTGTCGTGCGCGTCAACGCATCACAAAATTGGGGTTTAAACGTTTGTCATAAATAATGAAAACGATACATGCAAAGTGCATGCAGAAAAAGTTATCCAAGTAATGCACGTGCAATTTGTTGGAAATATGAGTAGAGACATCGACTATAAAAGGCCAAACCATAGTCATCATTTAATTACGAAAGTTACGACGTAAACGAAGATAAAAAGTACCAAGATGCTACTGACCGAAATATTGCCATTGGACGTTTGGAAGCAGGGGAGTCCCCGTCTGCCGTTGCAAGACACTTACTTCAACGTCCACCACAGCACTATATCTCGATTATGGCATCGATATACCCGCTTCAATTCAACTCAAGATAAGAGCTGGTGGTGGTTCATGACAATCTCACGGCAAATCGCTACATTGACCAAATCCTGCTACCTCATTTCCCCCCACTTTTTAACCGCAAGAGGGAGCTGTTTCAACACGACAACGCTCGACCCCACACAGGTGCCTATCTCGCCCATGTAGACGTCAATGTCCTTCCCGGCCTTCCAAATCTCAAGTGTGTCGAATTTCCTTCATCTATGTTCAAGCTTAATCGACTTATGTACACTTAAATACGTTTAATACATTTCCTTATTTTTGGCCTGTGCGTTTCTTTTTTCTTTTTTTTGAGGAGTTCTATTGTACATATATGTATACATTTTTACATAAATGTATATTTTTGGGGTTTTTTTTGTAATATATTACGTGAAACCCATAAAAATATGGATGTCTAACATTATACAGCATGTAATTAATAACATGTAGACCAACCCTAAGGTATTCACATGGTATAGGGATCGTATGTGACACTGATAAATGTGGCCCGTTCGATGCCCGATTTCGTGAAATTCGCATCTGCACGGTGCTACAATGAAAAGGGAGCAACGTCTTTAATACATAAATGCAACTAGTACCGTTATCAAGCATATGATGTGAGTGAGTCTAGTTTTACGCCACACTCAGCAATATTCCAACTATATGGTGGCGGTCTGTAAATAATCGAGTCTGGACCAGACAATCCAGTCATCAACATCCATGCATCATTCTACGCAATTGGGATATGATGACATGTGTCCACAGGGGTTCGAATCACTGTTTGGACAATAATTTTTAAAAATAAAAAATCTAGACATTTGCAATCGTATATTGTTTTATATGGTATGAGCAACTTATATTTCAAATTTGAACGAAATCGGTGAAGAAATGGATTTTTTAGAAAATTCTCCCGCTACACTTACCTAAAATACATGTAAGTCTAGATTTTTTATTTTTTTAAATTATTGTCTAAACAGTGATTCGAACCCCTGTGCATGTGTCAACCAAGTCAGCGAGCCTGACCTCCCGTTATCCGCCTTTTACGACAAGTATGGGTTACTGAAGACCAATTTTAACCCGGATCTTCACGGGTCAAGCATGATGTGTGATATCACATAAGTTGCTTGATAACGGGTTTAGTATCAAATTAACACGTGTATATTTAATAACGTGCAAAAGCTATATACATTCGTTTTTTAAACGTTATACAACCCGTCTACAAACAGTACACGAGATCAGTGTAGAAAGTAATATAATTCTAGTTTGTTTATTCATTCAAGTCAAAGGCCACAGGCCCATAGGACATACATTAACGGCATGTACACATACTTGTTATACATCAATATATAAACGATGAATAAATTTCACAAGGTACTACAGTAATACACAATGCACGATAATAACATTATTGGTGTACCAATGGGTAAAGTCTAAATGTTAAGAATACTTACTTACTTAGATTTAGCAATGTTTGAGGACATGTGGAATTGATAAGATTGACAAATGCTGCAACAGAGGGATGTTCATGGTATACAGGGTGAATATATGATTTTCGTAAATTTGAAAAAGCTTTGCATACAAGTAAGAACTGAAATTCATTTTCAACTACATCTATTCCGTAGCGGCTGCAGTGTGTACATAATCTGCTTTCTACATCTATTCCGATTCTTCGTCCACGTTCAATCCTTAAATTGTGGCATCCACATCTAAATCTTGACAAAGCTTGACGGTATATTCTTAAGTTGATATGAGTTAGATAGTGTTCGACATTTAAAACTGATTTGTAGGTAGCATATGAGGATAGTTTAGAGTTGTTTTTAATGTCTGCTTGCCATTGTTGAATATCTACGTCGACGATACGTTGTTTTATTTCTGATAGAAAGAGTGTTTTATTTCCGAAGTCCTGCATGATCCACGTGTATCCAAATCCATATTGAAATAATATCTGTTTAACCTTTGAAGCCCATGATGTACGATTTAAACTGTCCAACCCATATAACATCACATAGGTCTGCTTTGGAAGTCGGCGATTGTCCATCAAAAGAAGTTTGGTCCAGTATGTGATTAACTTCATTACATGTGTGACGAAAACAGTATGTCTTCCACAATCTCCAAGAACGGCAGCATTGCATGCATTTTTAGGTACATAATTTTTTTGAAAATATTTCAGCTGAACTTTTTCTATGTATTGTATATGTTGAAAACCCCAGATATCAGCTTCATATGTCAAGATTGGTAAAGCCATTCTGTCGAATAGGTTTGCAGCTACATTGATCGGCAGTCCACCACACATATAATGTAGTTTGTAGATTACCTGACACACTTTCTCGGCTTGCTGAGCTAAAGTTGTTGTAGCTCGAGTCCATATTGCTTTGGGTGTAAAGATCAGTCCGAGATATTTATAGTATGACACCACCTAAATCTGCGATCCTTTATAAAACTACCTTTCGTAGTTGCGCAGGTATCCTCCGTTTCGAAAAACTACAATCTGCGATTTAGTTTTGTTTAGAGCGAGACCCCATTTGTCACAGAAGGTACTAAGAACATCAATATGTTTTTGTAGTCTCCCTACTGTATCTGTTGAGTTAGCCACGTCATCAGCATTTAAGAGAGAACACACTATAATTCTAGTTCAGTGATGCAAAAGAATACATCATGCGTTGCTGATGATTGTACAGACAGACTGTTCTTTTAGGTCGGGGCGGTGGGGTAGCCTAGTGGTTAAAGCGTTCGCTCGGTTCGATTTCCCACATGGGTACAATGTGTGAACCCTCTGGTGTCCCCCTTCGTGATATTGCTGGAATATTGCAAAAGCGGCGTAAAACCCAACTCACTCACTCACTCTTTTTGGTCGACCGAGCAGAAACGGGCGCAGATCACCGAAATCAATTGTATAAAATACACTTATATATTTATAAACTACGTTTATAACGAACACACTTCTAACGAAATGACGGATAAAACGAACAGGATTTTTTCGCCCCCTGGCACATACTTTATCGTTGGGCCAGAATGTGTATAACGAACTACGGTTAAAACGAACTGAAAGTAGTGGTCCCTTTGAGTTCGTTTTAACGATACTTTACTGTATAATAAAGAGGACAGTTAATTGTTTTGCAGGCGTCTAATCACAAGCATCACCAACTAAGACACATCAACATTCAACAGAAAACACTGCCTGAAAACCGAATCAGTGTATGCGACGGAAGCCGGAGAGCCGCTCCTCTCGTCGCGTCGTGTTGGCTTCACGACCTCCTATAGGTCACAACGTTATATGTTACGAACTGGTTGTACTTGTCGCCTGCGGAGCTCAATAGATTCACGATACAAGGTTGCATCTGTTGACATAATGAGGACATTTCTAACGACTGTCCACTTTGTTTAAGTGAGACAAAGTACTCTCATTAACAACATGAAGTTCAAGGTCGCGAGTAGACTGGGCGACAGTCGATGAGACATAATGTTTTGTTTATTTATGATGGTCTGACCTAATGCCACGATTCTCACTATAATAAAAACAGAGTTTATCCTTTCTCTGATATAAACGTATAAATTCTGCATGACCTGCGTTAGACCAAACGCTGCAATTAGCCGACTTCAAAATTCAAATTATATGTCAACAATGTAGCAACTTTTGACATCCGTGTCAACGCAGATCTGATGTTTCGTGCAACTTATAAGGTTCTGTCGGGAGTATGGTTAATAATGAAAGTCGGTTTTAACGTCATTCCAGTTATCTAAGGGGCAGGTTGGGTAGCCTAGTGGTTAAAGCGTTCGCTTATTAACAAAACTTAATACAACAATTACTAGAGAACTCACAAAAATGACTAAAAGTCCAAAATTTAAGTTAGGGAACGGAAGGAACTCTTTCCGTTATTTGGATTCCATGACGCTATTAGCTCACGGAACTGTGTACTTTTTAAAAAAGTGCACGTGAATATGTAACAACGCGCAATGAATTTCTACACGGTTATCTGCATGAAAAAAAATGTCATTACCGGGGTACGAACGGGAATGTTGCGGGCTTTGATCGCGGTTCAGTAGGGAGAGTGAGCGTCTGATTGAAATTTTAGAGTTACTCCCCTTTTACCAATCGGAAAAAATTGTCGTATTTTACTTTCTCGGGTCATCGTCACCAATGCTGTGACATTGAGGGTGTTACGGAAAGGGCCGAATGGCCGAGGTTTTCTGATAGACACGGATCTTGCACAATGTTTACATCTGACGATTTACAAGAATGATCTTGAAAATTCTATGCTGCAATACACGTGTAAGTCGTGGGTTTACACATTGATATGAAATATAAACTAAACATTAACGGCATCTCTGCAGGACACACTCACACTGAAACGGTTAGTCGGTTAGTGGTGTGCAACAGCAAGGCTGCTGGGAACAGTTTATTGATATTGGGATGCGCGGACTGGGTTCAATCTCTGGATAACGCCCGAAATCAACATTTACCTAGCTAGAGATCCCGCCGACTCAGATTTCACTTGATAGTCCATGTGTTAGTCACTGATCACCTGCTGACATTGGACCCCGGCCAGTATTTCCTCAGTCCAACAAGGAAGACCGGTAAGTCACCACCAGCGCTCTAATTAGGAATGTTGCATGTTTCACAGGGGCTTGTAACGCTAAAAACTGCCATCAAGGTATGTACTGTCACTAACGCGGTCTTAGCCTTTTATATAATGCTAAGACCTCGTCAGTGACAGTACATACCTTGATGGCAGTTTTTAGCGTTACAAGTCCCTGTGGCATGTTTAAATATATTGAAATATGAAAATATAATATAATTTACACACATTTGTGGCCATACACATATATGTGTACAAAATGGGTGACCCCACCTCAAAATCATCATCATCACCCCCCAACCCCACCCCACCAAGAAAGATCACATCAGTATGTTCAGTACAAATATAATTTAAATGTTTTCTTATTTCCATTACAGAAGACATCAGAATGATTTATTGTGCCGACTGTGGTATTCTCCTGTTTGATGATGTGAGGGGCAAACAGTATTGCAAGGCATGCAGAACCGCTCAAGAAGAAAGAAACAAGTTATCGAGACAATCATCCTGTGGCTGCAATTACTGTGATCGAAACTATGATTGGAATGACAAGGAATTTTCCTGCAGTAGGAAGTCAACAGCCTCTGAAAAAAGCAAACCCAGGCCACTGAGGACTCCAAGAGAAGCACTGGTGGACGAGGGAATCAGGACAAAGTGGGAAAAGTAAGCTTGTTACTCATAGTAATGATAAGATAGCTGATATTTGTTCAGCAGGATCATCTGTTATAGTTACAACAATCAAAGGTATCACATAAATGAAAACACACTGATCAAATGTAGTACTTTGTTCCACTAATTCTACTTCTTTAATACATTATGTCTCTGTAGCTTTTGGGGCAGTGGGGTAGCCTAGTGGTAAAAGCATTTGCTCGTCACGCTGAATACCCTGCTTCAATTCCCCTCATGAATGCAATGTGTGAAGTCCATTTCTGGAGTCTGACACCAACATATTGCTGGAATATTGCTAAAAGTGGCGTAAAACTCATACTGGTTTATCAAGGTCATGATAGTCTGATAGTTGCCATTCAACTAATCATTATCCAAGGGAGATAATTTGGCAGAGTTGCTCGTCCTAGTTTGTAACGAAGATACCATCCAAGATCTGCATTATTTCTGCCAACCTTACCTCTCACATCAAGCTGGTGTACCATGAGGGAACTGGAATACTGTTCAACGTAGTGTTAACCAAACTGCTGACTCACAATGTTGTGAATGTATCGACTGTTAAGATAAACTTGATTACATCACAGATGACAAATATGACCCATTATGATGTGCACTGTAAGCAGGATGAGCTGTATTGGCAATACTTGTTACAGCCACTATAGGGTTAATACAGAAACAGCGGTAATCAGTGCACATTCTACAACACCTCTCTAACCTTCATCAGAAGACAAGGAAAGAGGCAACTGATGGTGAGGTGAGGTGAAATTGGGTTTAACGTCGTGCTTGAGAATATTTCGCTCATATGACGACGTGCATGCCTGTGTATGTGTATGCTGCTGCTTGTACTAGCCCAGACTGAAGCTGGTGTTATAGTGCTAGCCCACTGAGATACCATGCCACAGTGAAGCATGAATACCCCTCTCAGACACATTATACTGACTCCGAGCCGACCAGTCCTTGTTCTACCCATTAATGCTGAGCGCCAGGCAGGGACCAACAAGTACCATATTTTAACGTCTTTTGGTATGATGCCGCGAACCCGCGAATTCTGTAGTCCTCGGGCGGACGCTCTAACCACTACACCATGGAGGCGGTCGGCAGCTGATGGTTTTCATGGGAGACTGAAACCTGAAGCACCTGTTGTCTGTATCAATTATGTTTTGGGTCTTATTATTCATTGGCATTTGCATTGACATAAACACTCTTTTCATATTCTGAACTATTGCCTTGATTACTTTAACATTTTTTACTTGAGCTATTACTTTAACATCTAATACTTGGTGCTTTTGTTACTTATTATGTTTCAATTATTTTTGTAAATTTTCCGTGGAAACAATATAGACTTAGTCTCAAACAAGAGAAGAGTTCATTGATGTGAAAAGCATTCAGCATGTTCCACTGAAAGTTTGGATACGCTTTGCTCCTAAAGCTTCTCACTGTTCATTATGAACATAAAGAGTCAACATGACATCAGATGGAATGCTGTTTAATCAATGGCTTAAGCAGAATCTGTACTGGTATTTGTTTTGCTAATATTGTTTTTCGGATTTACAAACACTTCCAAACTTAAACTTAGTTTATGAGTAGCAATACATTCTATTTGAACATTTTGTTGTTGTTTGTAGAGAGCAGATGGAATTAAAACGACAGCTGCTGACGGAGGACAGTGATGTCATCAAATCCATCACACAGAACATGAAGAAGGACCGACTGAAAGAGGGCGACCTGTACGTTGGTGGCGTGGACATCTCGTTTATCAAGGGGGACGATGTTAACGCATGTTCAGCATTTGTGGTCCTCAGTTATCCAGATTTAGAGGTAGGACATTTAGTATGTCTTTGAGTCGAAGCATGGCTGGTTTCTGAGATTGGCAGGCTAAAGAAAACGTTATTTGATATAATTATTTCATGAGATTCCATTTACATTTGACACACTTGTACAGTTCTGTTTCCAGACTGTCATATTTTGATGTTAATTTGGAAGTTGTCCATTTCAGAGTTAAAATAGGGTCAAAACTTCCTTATAAATCCATGTACATCACATCTGTTAATACATGTTCAGTTGCTAAAAATATTGGATCTGATGCATATAACAAATGGGTTATATCCATGATAAAATGCCTGTGATATATATATGATATCATGCATGTGACATGCATATGATATGCATGAAGTATACAGATGATGTAATGCATGCAATATGCAGATGATATGCATGCTAAAATGCATGTGATATATAGGTATCATAAATATGATATACAGATAATATGCATGTGATATATAGGTATCAAAAATATGATATACAGATGATATGCATGTGATATATAAGTATCATAAATATAATATACCAGGTACAGATGATATCCATGAAATAATACATGTGATATATATATATATATGCGATGTCCATACAGGTTGTTTACGAGGACTACCAGATGATCCAGCTGACGGCACCATATATCCCAGGGTTCCTTGCATTCCGTGAGGTGGAGTTCCTGGTAGCACAGTACCGCCACCTTGAGCAGACAAACCCGGAATACCTGCCACACGTAGGTTCATAGTTTAGTTAAAACAGGCACATATCTTCTGTCCACAACACCTGAACAGTGTACAGCTTACTTTCTTACATACATTATGTACATTTCTCTATGATTATTGGGGCGGTGGGGTAGCCTAATGGTTAAAGCGTCGGCTCGTCACGCTGACGACCCGGGTTCGAATCCCCACATGGGCACAATGTGTGAAGCCCATTTATGGTGTCCCCCGCCTTGATATTGCTGGAATATTGCTAAAAGCGGTGTAAAACCCAACTCACTCACTCACTGTATGATTATTATTTTATTATAATTATGATTCTTACCTTTTCCGGATTATAGTAAAATGAATAAAATTGGATCTTCTATGTTTTTCAAAAATTGTATAGTTACAAATAGTTTGCAACCATGTTGTGCAAAGAAGATAGATAATGTTTATGATAGATTGCTGCAATATTTTGAGGTTATTGAAACATATTTTGATATTTTTCCAGGTCATCTTTGTTGACGGGAATGGAATTCTGCATCCAAGAGGTAAAATAACAACTTTTTCCAAAATTGAATAAATACTTCCTTTCAAAAGTTTAGACTCACTTAAAACACTCCCTTATCTCTGGATAAATTATTAAAGTTTTTGAAAAGATTTACATACTTTCAGCAAGGTCACTCACGCCAGTTCTCATATTTTCATCTTGGTCAATTTGTTTTTCAAATAAGTATGCTGTTCAAACATTTTATGCCCATGAATCTCCCTTGTGAAATTACTAGTTAACCATGTTTTCATTCCAGGATTTGGCTTAGCAAGTCAGTTGGGGGTGCTGCTTGACGTGGCGTGTGTAGGCGTCGCTAAGACACTCATACATGTTGATGGTCTGGAGAATGACGACAACCACAAAGACAAGGTGACTATGTAGTTTCTTAAGTAACTTTATTGAGCAATTTAATGTCTCAAACATCAACTGTTTTAAGAATGGTATATATTATAAAGTGTTTCTCGCATGGATAGCAAGTCAAGAACCTCTAACTTTGTGGAAATGCAGATATTTTATAATTATTTTATGTCAAGTGGAGGGATCATGTAGAGATTGTTGTTTATGTTTGTTTCAGAAACACCTGCTGAAAAAGGAAGGGGACACATTCTTACTGCAGGACAAGTCAGGGCATGTTTTGGGAAAGGTAATGGGAAAGGAACTTTTTTATTTTATTGGGCGAAGGAAGGATTCACAGCAGTCCGTGTACCAAACTGAAATAACAAATGTGTCCACTCATTCCTTGTAGTGACATTTTTCTCACTTTATTGGAATAACATCGGCTCAAGCTGAACATGGAGAATTCAGCTTAGTCTGGTCGTGAACATCAGTGTTGGGAATTGGTTTCAATCTCATAATTGATGATTGGTTCATTACAACCGATCAATCATCGAAAATAATTGAAATTTATGAAATTTCCCTGGTTATGTTTGTTAATGCACAAAAAATAAAGAAAAACATGTAGTTCTCTCGGTTTTTTTCACAAATTGCACAAAATGCATTTGCAAATTTCACATCTTTAAAGGATGACTAGTGTGTTAGGAACATACATTTCCTGGAGTTGTTAAGATAAACTTAATCATGACTTGGAACGAGCTTGTAGTGCTTATGCAGTGTAGAGACAAAACAAACCTTTTGAAAAATATTGTTATTGCAAACAAGTGTTCCAAACTTGTTTGTGTTCGATTATGAGAAAACATGATTGATTGCTTGGTCGTTTTGTCATTGCGACCAATCTTCGATTATTTCAATTAATCGGACCACCACTAGTGAACATCAGTGCAGTGGTATTGTAATCTTCTGTATAACGATTGTACAGTTGTATCTCTTGACACATTGCTCTTATCACATTAATATATGACCACTTGGGGCATTGTTCATAATGGCAGTCACCTGACAATCAATTTGATTTAAGCTAATGGCATGATCCTGATGGCACATATTGGTGTTCGTTGAGTCAATTTGTGGTATGAGTGGGGTTCGATTCCTCACATGGGTACAATGTGTGAAGACCATTTCAGGTGTCCCTTGCTTGCATATTGCTGGAATATTGCTAAAACGCGACGTAAAAGTATACTCACACTAGTTTATCAAGGTAATGATAGTCCAAAAGTTGCAATTTTATTATCCAAGGGAGATAATTTGACAGAGTTGCTCCCCCTAGGTTTACTGTGAAGATATGTTTCTTTTGCTGTCTAAACTAGGTCATATTTTCCCTGCTGTCATTTATCTGTAATATAATATTATATGATATTTTCATAAGCACCAATTTAAGATATATAAAACGTGATGGTTATAATATGCAGATATATTTGTGTTGCAGGCCCTGAAGAGCACTGATAGCACCACTAACCCAGTATACATCTCGGTGGGACATAAGATTAGCATTGACACAGCAGTATGGCTTGTCCACAAGTGCTCAAAGTACCGTATTCCTGAACCAACAAGAAAGGTAAAGTCTGCAACTACATGTACTGGAATTGATGGAAATGTCAACTTATTCTCACTAATCATATCAAATGGTATTACACAAGAAACCTAATGAGACACTCACTTCCTTGACCCTGTTCCTCAAAGCGATCATAGATGATCGCAACTCCCACACTTTAACACAGACTTATGACTGTCATAGCACTATGAGAGCTTTGAGGAACGGGGCCCTGTTGACAGTTCCAGTCATGTTTACATGATGCCACCTCCCTCATGAGATTAAAAACCCTCATTTAAAACAAATAGATGTTTAAACACCATTTTTTGAGTATCTTCCAGCATGCATTTTCTGACAATTTCTGACCACTTCAAGTATGCCCAAAAACAAAGGGCATATGTTTATATTTTTTTTTTTTGTACATAATAAGATATAAGACTGTATAAACTTCTACTGCATCAGCGAGTTAAATTTGGTTGAAATACATAAATTGTTCTGTATATTTTACACTTACCTGTGCTGCTCTAGTGTGGTAAGTATGTGAAAAGAACTGTTCCAGTACACACACGTTTTCTTTCCTCAGAGGAAAATTTAATTATTTTAAACTTTTTGGGTTGCAGGCTGACTTAAATTCAAGAGAATATCTCCGTGTCCACCATCCACAAGGAGCATAAGTTTTACCGGAGTCTTCTGTCTACTCACATCTGCAAACCTGGCTGTGATACCAGCGGCCGTGTGAGCAGTGTGATAGTGTACGTGACTGTCACACCTGAGTGAATGAGTGAGAGGGTGGAGGGGTTGATGAGAAAGCGAGTGAGTGAGTGTGAGTATGTTGTTCATCAATTGTTCACATCTGTCAATTGGCATTGAACATAAAACTATTCTGCTGTGTGACACCTGAGCAGTAAACTTGGACAAAGTGCTGTGACTATGTGTCCCAGTCCCCCCAGCTGTGAATGGGTACCTCATAAGGATGGGAATGCCACAATAACTCGGTGCGCCTAGTGGCTGCAAGAGTTGTATGCTCCCCAGGGAGTTGAGATTGACAATACGATGTGCCGTTGAGCTTGACACTGAACGAGGGAAAACAACGCGCCTTTGAGCAGCTGAGCTGAGCTGCATATTGGGTTATGTATGTATGTATGTATGTATGTATGTATGTATGTATGTATGTATGTATGTATGTATGTATGTATGTATGTATGTATGTATGTATGTATGTATGTATGTATGTATGTATGTATGTATGTACATTGTATGTATGTACATTGTATGTATGTACATTGTATGTATGTATGTATGTATGTATGTATGTACATTGTATGTATGTATGTATGTATGCATGTATGTATGTATGTACATTGTATGTATGTATGTATGTATGTATGTATGTATGTATGTACATTGTATGTATGTATGTACATTGTATGTATGTATGTATGTATGTATGTACATTGTATGTATGTATGTATGTATGTCAGTGCTAGGACGCTCCTTGTTAACATTACCATGATGTCGTGATATGATAGTCACTAACTGTCTGTTTAAGGCCTCAAGGAATCTGGCAACCATGTTTTGTTGTTTATTGTTTAAAGCTGCACTCGGCAATATTCCAGCTATACGGTGGCGGCCTGTAAGTAATCGAGTCTGGACCAGACAATCCAGAGATCAATAGCATGACCATCCGTCTGTGTAACTTGGATACGATGACATGTGCCTGCCAAGTCAGTGAGTCTGACCATCCGATCCCGTTAGTCGCCTTTTACGACCAATTTTAACCCGCTGGCAACTATGAGCTATGATGATGCATATATACGAGTCACATATGTTTAGTGAATGTTCCTCATTATTATGCAGAATGAACCACAGCAATAAATAGTCGATACACTTTTGAAATATAACAGTTTATTTGGGATAACATTGTCCTAGTAAAGTACAAATTGTAGTACATTTTAGGGTGTAAACCCACATTTCTGAGGGTGAGCCACTTCACGGACTTCAGTGATCTAAACTACCCATTAGGCTTTCTTAAAAGTACACGAATTTGTATTCAACAAAGAATGTGCAATCCTATATCAAACAGATGTCAATATAATATGCTTAGAAAAATGATGTTCTAGCAAGAACAATAGTTTTGAAAGAGAATAACTTCTGAGTGGCATTGCTTAGAAGTTGGAGAGTAATAAACAGATAAACTTTATGGATAAACAACTTCTTTATTTGGTAGATGCGACGTTTCGATACAGATCTGTATCGAAACGTCGCATCTACGGAATAGAAGAAGTTGTTTATCCATAAAGTTTGTCTGTATATTGAAAGAGAATGATCAAAGACTTGTGTTTCAAAGTATACTCACTGAGTGTGTGATCTCATATCTAATAGATGTGATATGATAGGATATGTTTCCTGAAAAGTTTGTAAGAGTATAAACTGACACCTGAGTTCACCATATATATTTCTCAGGGATGGTGATACAATAACTTGAGCATACCAATGTTCTGTAAGTATGTTTGTGTCAGCAAGTATATCACCCTGATAGTAATGTCTTGTTGATATGTTTGACATCTTAATTAGTATATGTTTTTGTTTATTTGTTGTTAATGCTGCAACTCAGCAGTATTCCAGCTATTTGGCAGCGGTTTGTAATAGTATTGATTTGATGATTTAATTTAGATGACTGCATGATTTTAGAAGGTCACTTTCTTCAAAATGTTATTTTTATGCAAAGTTTACAAATGTTTATATGTGAAATTTGGCGAAAGAGCCTCCCCGTTGCGTCCTGACATTCCTCCCTAAACCAAGCTGTGATGATATTAAGTGTATTTTTGAATAAAAAAGGTGGATATGTTTTGTGTTCAGGTTCAATGAGTTGTATTACAGTGTAGAACGAATGTGGCCTCTCAGAGTTTGTGGTATGTGGTAACTTCGGCCACAACATTGAAGTATGAGTGATTCTGATTGGTCAAAACATCATTCAAATTACATTTGATATGGGGGAATTAACAAGTGTTTTTTTAGACACAAACAGAGCATATTGGAGACATGTTGTGGTGCAGCTGGGGAGATTTTTGGGGCAGCACTTGGCCCGGTGAGTCTTGCATTGATGTTGTTCCATTCAGCAGGATGAATGTCACCCTGGATTTAATGTCGTTGTGGATCTCCCAGAAGGTGGTCACATAGCCTGTTTGGACAGATGGAGGGGACATTTGAGGATGGGTCCACATTCGTCCTATTAATGCAATGTGTAAAGTTGTTTCCTGTCCATCTCCATGATATTGCTGGAATAATTGTTGTTTTAAAAAACTGTTCATCCATCAACGCAGTGTCCTCCAGAGGCGATGGGGTAGCCAAGTGGTTGAAGCGTTCGCTCAAGAACCAGGTTCGATTCCCACATTCCTACATTGTGTGGAGCCTGTTTCTGGTGTCCCCCGCGGTGATATTGCTGGAATATTGCTAAAAGCGGTGTAAAACTAAACTAAGCCCATTCACTCATTGTCCTCCATACCCGCACAGGCGCCTGGTCCTGTTTCGTCCATCCATCAGTGGGACATGAGCGCCATGTGTTTACACACGAGTCCAGATTCAGTCATTCCACAAACTGATCTCATGGCTGCGATCACCGTATAAACAATACAACTGGGCTCTAGGGTCGCCTCTTTTGTAGCCCAGATGCTCCTTTCACGAGGCAAGTTAACCATAAGTCCCATTCTTTAACATTGCATTAAGGAGTGAGTGAGTGAGTTTAGTTTTACGCCGCACTCCGCAATATCCAAGCTATATGGCGGCGGTCTGTAAATAATCGAGTCTGGACCAGACAATCCAGTGATCAACAGCATGAGCATCGATCTGCGCAATTGGGAACCGATGACATGTGTCAACCAAGTCAGCGAAACTGACCACCCGATCCCGTTAGTCGCCTCTTACGACAAGCATAGTCTCCTTTTATGGCAAGCACATGGGTTGCTGAAGACCCATTCTACCCCGGATCTTCACGGGTCTTGCACTAAGGTTACCTTAGCGACTTACGATCACTTTAGTGCTTTGTGAAAGGAGGCACAGGCCTGATTAAAGATTCCATGGTTTGTGTTGATACAGAGATGGCTAACTTCTCTCATCCTACTGAAGCACCATGTAGAATAATAAGATCTTAGAACCTTACGCTGAAAAAAAACATTAAGCTGAGTCTTGTCGTCACTTAGCGGTCAAGGATAAGTTTGATTTCCACGAGAATATCAGGTTTGATGGAGTTCATGGTGCAATATAACGGTCTTGTTTGGGAATGCGTGAGTACGTCATTGCCTGTCTGAAAGTAAATGATAATTATACTTAATAATGCAAATAACGATGTGTACTATAGCGCTAAATTCCATACACCAAGTGCATGCTCGAAGCGCAGCTAAACAGCTCATTATTAACCCAGATAAACCAAGCTGCCTGTGAGGCGCTAGGTTTATAGTCACATGACTTATCCCACCGGGTACCCATACTTGTGATGGTTGTTACAATCAGAGACAACGTGCAACATAACTTAAGTTATATCACCGACCATTACATTTAGAAACGTTTATAGACGTTATTCAATGGTCGGGTTTCTGGACCATGTCGCTTGTAGCGGGATTAAACTTTATAAACAACGATTGAAACACAACGTATCTTAAGTATAGATTCACACCCGAAAATTCGGTTCCTTGGCAGGGGTGGATGCAGCTTTTCGAGGAGGGGTTGGGGGTCGTGCAGAGTTCATTTTCAACCATTCTCAACCAAGTTTCAACCCAACACACACCTACACCACACACACCTTCTGGATCTGCCAATGTTTAGCGTCTTTTTACATTTTAAATCTGATATGCCGTATGTATTTGATATCCACAACTCGTGTTTGAAATGTGCACGCCGAAGGCTCATGAATATGTATCGGCTACACACCGACGGATTGTCTCAGTAAACCTTGGCATCTGACCCTGCGCGGCATCCTCTACATCTCCAGGGCTTGCGGCAAACCTACACTACCGCCTGAATACAGTCCGTAATTCCTGCAGTCGCAAATTACCTCCTGTCCACCAAAGGGATTGTGAGGACTTTCTTTTGCGTTCGTCATCATTTCCATGTTGAACTTGTGGATCATGAGCAATGGTTCCAGCTGCCATGTTGTTGATATTGCCAACATTGAGGCTGGGACGATGGGTAGAGTGCCGCCATTCCGAGACTAAACCGACCCGCCCTTCTTGTCTTATTTGCTACTTTGATAGGGGCAACGCTACTCGATTTTACTGAAACTGCGACTTATAAGAAACCAGGGCTGGTTATTTGAAAGAAGCCAGAACCACGGGCATGAACCCAAGGGTTATAGTGTTGGTGTACAACTAAAGTGTAACCACTAGGGCTGTAACGATGCATCGAACTATCGATGGATTGTAATTGTTGAATCTTCGATAGCAATTAAACGATGGTAGAAACGAAAAACTATATCGATGCATCGATAGTATGTGGGGCTATCGATAGTTCAGTAATTGACTTCCGTTGATAAATGTGCAGCGCAAAATATAGGATATTTGGGTGCAGACTTGCAGCTTCATTGAGTTTATGTTTTAACTGTTTACTTGATCTGGGTTTCAAGTCTCTTGTCAGTTATTAAACGAGACTTTCAATGTTTTTATTTGATATAAACTTAACATTCATTTGGGAAATGCCTTCAAATGAGGCATTTCAAGGAGAAAACTATTGCAATAGTTGGTCGTAATAGTTTTTTTCCCGTCAGAGTCACCCCTAGTAATTGGTACCTTGAAATATCAGTTTCAATCTATTCGCCACGGAATCTAACTGGCTTTGCGAGGGCAAAGTTTAGCTGTTCTAGCTACCTGTTATTTGTCCTTCCTGCAGACATATCCTTTCTGAATACTCGGTTGACAGACCTGTCCAACACGACACTCGTGGTAGGCACACGCACCTGCAATATCCTGCAATGTAGATTGATCACACGTTGCATGGTGACATAAAGCTTGTAGTTAATTTCATAACGACATTTTCGTCACGCCGAAGACCCGGGTTCAATTCATTTCTGGTGTCCCCCCGCTGTGATATTGCTGGAATATTGCTACAAGCGGCGTTAAACTAAACCTTACTCACTCATTGGGATCAAGTTA